AATGAAAGAATAAGTTTCTTCTTTTTTTTAGTCATTACAGTAGTAACTGTAACTGAGTACCATTTTGGTTTCTGTCTCCTCATGTTTTAAACAACACATTTTTGTGTTACAACTCTTTTACTCCACGTTAGCCAGATAAAGAGACTCGGTGTAACCTGCAGTCTGGCTGGCATTTCTTCTGCATCATTCTTCAGCACTTGTGTCATCTCAGGCAGTGGTGAGAAAAGAGCAGTATTTTATGACCTAAATGTTGCAAAAACCTTCTGTATAAGGAATGTGAATGAAAAAGTCAAGGTACCTTTAACAACAAGTGTGCGTTGATATAAATGCTGTCAAATTCAGACAGAACTACTGAGTTTGAATAAGTGAAATTGGATTTTAGGAGTGCTTACACTGCTCTAAATTAATGTATTTCTTTTTTCCCCCTGAAAGCAAGAAGTTTAATTGCAGTAGTGAATTCAGTACTTCCAGCCTAAAATGCCCCCGTAACTTTCATTTTAAATTTATAGCTAAGATTCATTCCTGAATTCAGTGTGACTATCAGTTGCCTTCTCGTAGTAACCAAAACCACCTTCATTTGTATATTAAATTAGATCCTTTATGATGATGGGAAAATGGTGGTAGAGGTTGATGGACGTGCTACTCAAAAGCTGATCACTAACTTGAAGCCAGAGACATCATATTCGTTTGTGCTGACAAACAGAGGGAATAGTGCTGGGGGTCTTCAGCACAGAGTGACAGCAAAGACTGCACCAGACGTGCTTCGCACCAAGCCAGTCTTCATTGGAAAGACCAACTTAGACGGCATGATAACTGTGGAACTTCCAGAAGTCCCTTCAAATGAGAATATAAAGTGAGTGAATGAATGCATACCATTGTTTTTATCTCCAGAAATGTGATTATTTTTACTGTTAATGAAATCTAGAGCTGTAGTGGTGAACCAGGGCTTTTTTATTCTTAATGGTACGGAGAGTATAGCACTCTGCAGTAGCATTTGGACTAATAGTGGACTAATATTTGACGCTACAAAACTAGGAGGTGCTGTTGACTCTCAAAGGACAAGAGACCTTGCAGAGGGATCTAGATAAGATTGGAGCATTGGGCAGTCATCGATGGCATGAAATTTAACAAGAACAAATGCTAGATTCTGTTGTTAAGGTACTTGAATGCATCCAGAGGGCAACAAAGCTGGTGAAAGGGCTGGAAGGCATGTCTTATGAGGAGCAGCTAAGGACTTTGGACTAGTGTAGTTTGGAGAAAAGGAGGCTGAGGGGCAACCTCATTGCTCTCTACAGCTTCCTGAGAAGGGGAAGTGGAGATGGAGGTGCTGATCTCTCTGGGATCCAGTGATAGGACACATGGGAATGGTTCAAAGCTGTGTCAGGGGAGGTTTAGACTGGACATTAGGAAACATTTCTTTACCTCAAGGGTGATCAAGCACTGGAACAAGCTTTCTAGAAAGGTGGTTGATGTCACAGACCTATCAGGGTTTAAAAGGAATTTGGACAATGCCCTTAATAATTTGCTTTAACTTTTGGTCATCCCTGAAGTGGTCAGGCAGTTGGACTAGATGATCATTGTAGGTGCCTTCCAACTGGAACTATTCTATGTTTGTCACTTAGCCAAGAATGCAACACTGAGTAAAATCTAGATGGAAATATATGGAGAAGGATTGTGTTTCAGTTTGTAGTTGTTTCTCAGAGTACTTTTGTGTTTCACCACTGATTTCAAACAGCAAAGAGGGATTAAGGAAGCCAGATGCGTTTGGAACAATATAACCTCTCCAGAAGAATGGATAACCTATTCATGGGTAGCTGCCCTGCTGCAGCACCTTGAAGTACTCAGACTCAGACATTTTGAATTACCCGGAGTTTTAAAGAGTTGTTACTGCACTTATATTTATTCAGATGAATTCATTATGAAGTTTTTTATTAAAAGAAATATCCTAGGTCTTCTCCACTGGTCCCAGAAAGAAAACAGGAGATTTTGCTGAAAAATTTGGCAGTTACATACATTTTGGGGGAAAAGGTGCTGTGGAAATTTTAAAAGCAGAAAGAGGACTAAAGAGCTGACAGCACATGGTCAGCAGGGATTAGAAAGGTTAGACAATAAAGGTTTGCCAAGAAAACATGAAGCATGGTACAATCAATAAGTGTTATTGCTCTGCTTATAGTGATTCTTGTTGGTCTATAAAGTTCCCATGTGTAATGTAAAGGAAATGGGGAGGAAAATGAGCAAGTCATTAAATATGGTTGGGGATTCAACTTGTCCTCTCCCTGGTGGATTTTTACTGACGGCTTTGTAGAAAGCTGCTCCCCTTTTTCATTACTGACTGAAGATTTTGAGGCAGGTGAGGTCAAGAAAGAAATGACTTTGAGACATTAAAAGGATGAAAAACTGAAAAATGTAGCCATTATCATTAGATTGAGTAAGACGTGGTCAGTAACAAATGCAGCTAAGGAAGACTGAAGATGGAATGAGTCAAAAAAGATTTATGAGGCAGAGCATTCACAGAGAGAAAAAAGTGCAGGGTAGCTGGTCAAACAATAGCAGAAGATAGCAGTGGAAAAAGAGCCAATGCCCTTCCTTTTATGTAGTGTAAAAAAATGAGAGGCTAAGTGACATCAGGAAAGGTACATTAAACCTATGGGGTCCAACTGCCAATTTTGCACCTCCTCCTTCTGTATTTCCTAAGAAGATGTGATCGGGCTTTAGATAGAAAGACAAAACGACAAAAAGAATTGGCTTGACCCTTGGAAGCAGACGTAGCAAAGCAACTACATACTGAACAGAAAAAGCTTGCCTGATGCTTGATAAAGTAAGATTATTGCAGCTATAGTCTTTGTCTAGGAAGAACAATTTTGTGTAATAGTTATGTTGACGTTTTTACAGTTGCTCTTCCTCTGTGGGTACATTATATACTCATGACTGTCTCTATCTTACTATGAAGTACTATATGCTGAGAATCTTTCAATCATACTAATTACGCAGAAGGTGAAACAGTTAATGGTTTGCTCTAATGAATTACAGGTAAATACTAATGGGATTGAGGGTAATGTTATAAGAACCTTTGTAATTTATTAAAGATGGTAGAAGTAATTTTCATTATTTCAACGTGTGACGGCAATACAGCATACAAATTGGAACAGAGCACGCCTTTTGCTAGGTAAAATGGATCTCTTTGCTGGCATTATCTCATATGAGCAATTTCTTCATTTTCCTATAGTGTTTTGGGCTAATCCAAAACAATTTTTATGTGTAAAGGAGAGTCCATGTTTCTCTGAATATCTTCTATCTTTGCAAAGTGTTAGGTGAAAACAGAATTTTATTGAAGACTTTGGCCTTTGTAATACTCAGTAGTTCATGCAATATCCAAGCAAACTGTCCATTTCTCAACCTTCCCCCCCTGCCAAAAAAAAAAAAAAATAGAGATGCTGCATTTTCTGGAGTAAGCTAGGAATAACAGAGCTTTGTTGTCCTTTACAATTTGCAGCATTGTATATTTATTTGAACAGTTTCAATTTCTGCTTGCTGTTGATGTATTTGTGCTTTCAGCTTTAAAATACTCTTGAAAGAATGTGAAAATAAAATTTTCGTGGTTGGTGTTCCTTTATTCCAAAAAAAAAAAAAAAAAAGTATGAACACTCTGTTAGCTTAAAAAAGAAAAAGAAGCAGCAAAACAAAAAGGATAAGTAAGAGACTGCTGTGCAGTTCATCCAGAAGATGTATCTTCAATGTCTGAAAGATTTATAAGGGCCAATTCTCAATTGCTTTTTGTTTTGATTCTTAGGCATTTGTTAAAGAAAAGGTATTTAGGTTGTAGTTATTGTACACATGGATAAGCCAGCATTCACTTGGATTTGTTATTCATGTAACCAAATAATTTCAAAAATACATAGGCAGGTTTAAAATCTGGGTTCAACCAGCCTTACTAGTTTTGAATAAGAACATCAGTGTAAAAGGTGATTTATCATATTGTTACTATAAGAATTCATGCTGCAGATTTTTTTTAAATACCGTAATAGAGCAAGTGAGCAGCAGTTAAAAATCTGTGGCCAACACTTCTTGTTTCCAGCACCTCCTGTTGGAGCGCAGCATTTCCTCAGAGAAATTTCTCAGATTTCTTAACACAGGAGTTCTATGCATTTACTACAGTATTTAAAAATCAAAAGCTTTGTTACATTTCTTTTTTGTTAAGGAGCTTTAATTAAGAAGAGATCATTAAAATGGACAAATGGTGTGCACTGGTATGGAAGAAAGATAGTTTACAGGGTCAGTTTTGACTGAGATAGTTTTGCATCAATTGTAAGGCAAGTCCTTTTCTGCAGACTCTCTTTTCATTAATCACTTTAGGTTTTTCAACTGCATTGCGTGAGTAAAACGAATAGTCAGTGCTGCAAAAGGTTGAATACGCTGTAAAAAATGGCAGACTGGAAGAGAAGATGGCCCATGAGACACTAAAATTATCTTCCATAATGGAGAGCCAGAGACACCTTCTTAATAAGCTCTGTTGTTACTAGAAAAGAAGGAGAGCAGCTTCTTTCCCTCTCCTCTGAGATGGAGAGTACTTGACTTTTTGACAAGTGTGTTTATCAAGAAGATATATATTATACCATCCTGGATGTCCTGCTGTTGTGATTCTTCTGCTTCTTTCCCCACACTAATGTGAAATTATGGATCTGCCTGACATGTATCCAGGCTTTGTGAAGGGAACAAGGGAAGTGCCCTATCTCTATTATACTAGAAAGTATAATTTACTAGTCTCCATGGGGGGGTGGAGAAAGATATTTTCAGGAAAATGTTTCTGAGGAAAACTGATATATGTAATTTGCAAATCCTAGCTGTAAAGAAAGCATACATCAAACTCTCTTGTCTATGGCTGTGAACAGAATACTTAAGTAGATAAAGCTGATGGTGATTGATACTCAAAAGTAAAGAGTGTGTGGGTGCAGTGTATGCTATGTCTTCTTTATTTTCTGTTTATAATAGTATTGGCATCGACAAACACATTATGTTAACCTACTATTCTGATTATACATGAAAATGGGGGAAGATGGGGTGATAATTGAGATTCAAATATATGGTAATATGTTTCAATTTAGGGGTTTGGGTTTCTTTCCCAGTGTGGTGGTGGCAGGTCACAAATATCCCATGGCTTTTGTGTTTCAACTGAAATAATAAACTGCAGTCAAATATGTAGGCATTTTAGAACATTATAATTAAAGTTTCTTATACATATTTATATGTTTATATGAAAAGGCAGGTAATTAGTGCCATTTGTTCATCAAATGTTTTACACTGGATGTGGTTTCAAGAGAGTGAATCTTTACAACTATGTTTGGAAGGCTGCAGTGGCATAATAATATGCAAAAGTTTGCTCTCAAAATGCCACTCTTCTCTCAAGTTCCTCTGAACAGACACCTGCTCCATCAATTTATCCGTTACTTTTCCTTCAAATTCATTTCTGTCCAACTGTTCCTTTACAGAGGTTATTACATAGTTATTGTGCCTTTGAAGAGGTCTCGTGGAAAGTTTATCAAACCATGGGAGAGTCCAGATGAAATGGAACTAGATGAGGTACTGTATGTTTTTGTTGTCGTCGTCTCCTTTATTAAAGAAAAAAATCTTATTAGTGTTATGTGATTAACTCACCAGTTTTAGAAGCTTTTATTGTCAGGATATTTTATATTTATATTTGAATTAGCCTGTGGGGACTGAAACAAAAGTTCAAATTACTTAAATTAGAAGACAATAAAGACATTAAGTTGCAATAAAGCACACAAAGTGTCTGATCTTTGTTGGCATTAATATTTTATTCTTTTCCTATTGTAAAGCATAATGCAGAAGTGCAGGAGGTGAAATGGGTTGTCAGCAAAAGCTTAATCACCAATGATATGAACTCTAATAAAGGTCTGGTTCATTAGTGGGGTATTTACTAAGCCTGTAACAAATGCTAAATTGCAATTTGCACTGCAGTTTAACATTTGACCTTCTTGTGGTGTTTTTACCTGATTCTCACATACTGTAATGCTTCTGGTTAGAAAACTTCTACAGTAGTCTCCATTCTACTGACAGTTTATACTCAGAAATAAATGAATGAAATAGGAAAGAGCAACATTGTGTCATCATTCGACACTGTAAATCATATTAACCCAAAAGGTGGAAGTACTTGTATTTTAGGAATAAGCCCAGTAATAGTAGAAATCAATTCATTATGTTATTGATATAATAATAATTCTAGGAAGCATAGTGTCAGCATTCAGTCCTGTCTTCTGTTTTACTGAAGGACAATATAGCTCATGCAAACTTGTCTTTCTTCTTCCAATATGTAAATTTGGAATAATTTATCATTGTAAAGCTCTTTTGAGAGCCCCTTATGAAAGCCCTGTACAAAGGACAGGTGGTGGTGGTATTATTGTTATTGTTGTATCTGGCTAGGATTTTAGATCTCATTCAGATGCTATCGTAATTTGTACATCTAACATCTCTGCAAATCAAAGACCAGAGATCAAAGCCAGTTTCTTTACTCCTGATTTAGTGATCCTTTTACTGGATCCTGTCTATTTTTCCATTTTCTTTTGGTGGATTCAAGACTTTTGTGTTACAGAGATGCTTCACCATATGCTTCCACATGATACATTCAGTGGGAACTAATGATCATCTGCAAGCAACCACAAGGCTTTTTTTCCCTCCTCCCATTGACAATATAGATATCCATTTCAACGTTGGCACCAAAACATAAGGAAAACAAAGATCTTCACCAAACTAACACTGCTATAGAAAACTTTCAAAATATAAACAGAGGTCTTTCAGTCTTTAGTCTGTTTTCTGATCAGAAAAGGCAAAGAGGAATATGTACAGCAACAGGAGAATCCTTAATCAAAAGATTAAAAACAACGGTTCAAAGGAAGGCATGGTTTTCATTGCTGCTGACTGACTGTTTGAAGCCTGTGTTTCCTCTTGACCAGTTTCATTTATGTGATCATCTCATTTGATTCAATTGCAGCAATGACTTGTTTTGATCTATTAACTTCTGCCCTTTAAAAAAACTTGAATTGTAAATGCCTCGTGATCATAGTCCTGGGTGACAAAATACGGCTAAACCATAAAACTCTGACAGCAACATCCATACAATAATGGAAAACTGATTTAATATTACCACCCACTTTTAACATCCAAAGACTGTACTCACATTCAGCAGCATTAACAGATTAAAGGATAGGTGCCAGATGACATTGAACTTTTTGGCAATTAAATTCTACGGGTCCTGCTGATTCCCGTAACAAAGGGTCATTTTAATCATCCTGCAAGTTGCGGTGCATTAATCTGTATAACAGATTGATAAAGAGCATTTATTAATTCAGAAATATTTGGGTCAGGATGGGTTGTTTCCCACTTCTACGGATATAATTGAGACCACATTGTAGAATTAATGGTGGAAGAAATAAGATACGCATTGACTGGAAAATGAAAATTATTTCTGATGAAGAACTAAAACCCTTGATACATCTTTTACGATTGCCACCAATACATAATAGTAAGTACCGAGTAGGGAAAAAAATCAAAAGCAGGCAGCAACTGTGTTTCATGCTAACTCATACAGTTTCTATTAATTAAAAGATGCTTACTTCCAGCTTTAGAAAATATATGCATGTTTTTATTAGGTGTACTATGCCTGACAAACATCTGAAACCAGTGGCACAATAAATAAATTTGGAAAAAAACCCACAAACACTAAACACACTACTCCCTGACCGAATAGTTCCTGATGTTCAAGTGGCAATACTTGTGCATATCTTTTTTCAGTACAATATCAGATAGGGTTGGGCAATAGATTTTGCAAAGAAATATGTTCCAAATACTTTGCTTAGATTGTTGGAAGAAGGATGTTTGCAGAAAACACTACTCTGGAGCTTTAACTCCAGTACATAACTGACCAGTCCAAAAAATCACTCCAGTCTTATTGTAGTTACCTAATCGTCCTGGTTCCTTGAATCTCAGTTCTGAATGAAACCAAGCGAGATGCAGAATCTTAAAAGAGCAGACAATATACTGGATATTGCGTAACTGACAATAATAGTTATTAGAGATACAATCCTTTTTTGTTAAGTCAAAATTTATTTTTATTTTTAATATCATGAGATCTGGTGATTTTACTTAGATACTTTATGCAAATAAATGAAATATAAACAAAATATTATGATTTGCAGTAAGTATTACCTAGTAGGATTACTTTACATTTGTAAACAATAAAACCTAAATAAATGCCTGTATGTTAAGTCTTAAATCAATTCAGTAATTTTATTGCACTCCTGGTATAAAGTAAAACAGAAGATATATGTGCAAGTAATGAAATTTGGCAACAACCCCATTTATATATGAGACATGAATGAAGCCAGAGGTTTACCTGAGGTCTATTCAGTCATGTGTAATTAATGTCACGGACGAAATTTTTATCAACACACAAACACCCTTAAGTTTAGCTGGTCTTAGGTGATGAGTAACCACTTTGGAAAAAGTTGAACACATTTGGTTTGACTCAGGCTAATTAACTTTTAGTATTCATAGCCAAAACTCAGTTTCTGATCACTTCACCCACTGTAACAAAGTAGTTCAGCATTGCTATCTGTTAAATATATGCATTTTATGTTACAATCCAAATGCAAAAAATAATTAAGATCAAACATTTTTCTTCCCCTTTCAATCTCAGTCTCATTTTGATTGCAGTACTTTTGCAGTATTTTGATGTTTTATCATGAGTTATTTAAAATCTAAATTGTAAATATGTTGTAATCTGGAAACATATGATAAAGAATTACTTGAGGTAGCCACACAAGTAGCTATAAATTCCAATGGAAACCGTACCCATAAATGAAAATAACAGGTATCTTCAGGAATGGCTGAAGCCATGTACGTCTCCTTGTACTGCAGTACCTTACTATCTACCTTTGTGTTTCAGTGGACTTCAGGATAGTCAGTGCTCAGTCCTCTGCATAGATGTTCTTATCTTTATAAAAGATTGCTTCATAAAGAGACAATCTTTTCCAGAGTGCTTCCCTCATCAGATCTTATAAGGGCTGAAGCAACCTGGAACAAACTTTAATTAGTCTCTGCCTCATGTTCTGCCCTCAATAACTGTACCTGAGGCATAGGAAGCTACCAACAGATGTGAGAGTCACCTTCGATAAAGCAACTAAATAGAATCTTAATATTACAGTTCTCTACTGCCCTCATTTTCATACCATTCAAATTTACTCTAGCAGCTCATTAAACTGTTTAGGAAGAATGAAAGACAAATATGGACTGTAATAGAGTCCTTGAGCAATGAATAATGATTTCTAGTCTCAAATTAGGGCCAGTTCTTTTTTGCTCAGAGGATCCATTGCAGTGTACCAGCTTTTGTGTCGGAGCAAGGAAATTGATAGAGTTAAATGAATGTAAAATCTCTGCAACAGAAAACAGACTCAGCCTTAGAGGTGAAAGGCAGTTGATTGTGTAGATCTTCAAAGGGGTCACATCCAAATGCCCTCGATGCTAAGGAACTTTGTATCCAAGTAGTACAGGTTGCTTCCATGTCTGTCTGTAGCCTGTGTTTGAAATACGTACTTCAGTGAGAAGGGGTGTTAAAGAAATCAGTATTAAAAGCTTCTGTCTCAGTAGCAGAGTGAATACTAGATTGTTTTACACATATCAGCATTGTTCATTGCGTAATTGCAAAATGCAAGGTCCCGTGTAGGAAAGGCAAGAAGATGTAATAGCTAAGATAAGGCCTGATACTGAAGAGGCTAAAGCAAGAGAGAGTTTCCCTGACTAAACACATTCTTTAAAATGAAAATATATAGTGAAGATTAGATTTTAATCTCTTTCTTTATTGATCTCTATCTAGCTTGGGAGATTTCTCTCCCCCTGCTAACAAAGTTTGTGCTAATCTGTTGTTCTAGCACTGTTTGTGTGCTGAAAAGCCTAAAACAACTGTGTGACCTTGGAAAAATTTATGATTGCAGTCTGCGTCTACAGGACATTGAATAAGTTTCGTAAGTGAAAAACAGGGGAACTGTAAAGAGGCCTTAGAAGTCATCACTTATCATCCAGGAAAAGTCCAGGCTCCTTGTAGTCAAATCAAATTAATATTTGTTGAATGCCAGTATATCTAAAATGATAAAAAATGTTGAATAAGTATTTGTCTCTTTTAATAAGTAATTCATCAATGGATTATACTGGCCGAGCTTAAGTTCTTTTAATAGTTAGTATATGTTTTACAAGTTTGAGCCTAGCATCTACTCCTGTCGCAAATGTGCTGGTGTAAATTTTAGCCTTGTTCGTCAGAAGAAATATGTTACGAAAAAAAGAAAAGCTACATTTTGAAAGTTAGATTAGGCAGTTAAGATCTGAAGTGTGAGTTGTGTATGACAGGGTGGTAGAAAATATTTTGTAGTGCATCAGTATAAAAGTTGTCTTAGGATTATTGTTTCCTGTTATTGATTCCTATCACCAGTCTATTGTGTAGTGTTGTACAAACCATGAAGAACACAAGTTTTGGTGCTTTTGAACAAGTGAAATTGCAATCAATTTCAGGTTTGAAAGATATGTTTACAAATCACTCCTATAAACTTTTCTGCACTTCATTTACTGTTTATGAAGTACGCTGGAAAGCAGTCTTTTCCCTGAGACAGTCAGGACTTTAATATGGTCAGAGTGCTTAGCAGTCCTCATGTTAGAGAGAAAAAAAAAAAAAGCCATCTATAGCGACTTATTGTATTTCAGAGTTACCAGAAAAGGTTAAAAATAGTTCATATAAATTTATTTTCAAAAATTGGGATTTTTTTTTCAATTTTATAATTTTTATTCCTGGTTTTTAAATAATTACATCATATGACTTACTAACGTTTGTTGTATCAAACCAGCAATAAGAAAGTATCTTGCATATTCATGTGAGAAAATATTATTATGCATTAGGGAAGTTATTGTCCCTTTGAACCCATCACCTGTGAGGTTGCATCTCAAATACTGTGTTCAGTTTTGGGCCCCTGACTATAAGAAAGACATGGAGGTGCTGGAGCATGTGCAAAGAAGAGCAATGAAGCTGGTGAGGGGTCTGCAGCACGTCTTATGAGGATCAGCTGAGGGAACTGGGGTTGTTTATCCTGGAGAAAAGAAGGCTGAGGGGAGACCTTATCACTCTCTACAACTACCTCAAAGGAGGCTGTAGAGAGGTGGGGGTCAGTCTATTCTCCCAAGTAACAATAAATAGGACAAAAGGAAACAGCATCAAGTTGTGCCAGGGGAGCTTTAGATTGGGTATTAGGAAAAACATCTTCACTGAAAGTGTTGTCAAGCATTGGAACAGCCTGCTCAGGGAAGTGGTTGAGTCACCATCCCTGGAGGTGTTTAAAAGACAAGTAGACATGGTGCTTAGGGACATGGTTTAGTCGTGGACTTGGCAGTGTTAGGTTAACAGTTGTACTTGATGATCTTAAGGGTCTTTTCCAACATAATTTATTCTATTATATGACTGACTTCATACATATATACTCATGCACAAAAGTATATACAATGTGTAATACGATGTGTGTATGTATATGTCCTCAGAGAAGATATACTGCTTTATTAGCTTCACCACCACCACCCAAGACAGCAATATCAGACACTGAAAATTGATCTAATTGTTTTATGTTTGTAGTCTGGACAGTGCAATTGCTACGTAGTATCTTAACAAGGTTGACAAGAAATTGTAAGATTTTGCAAGAACTGATTTAGTGATACTCATATGCCCCATGAAATGTGGATAAATTGTATTTTTCTGGTTCCGGGTCATGCATTAAATTTTCTGGTTACATTGTCAATAAGTTACATAAAAATTGTTTACAGTTATCTTTCTATTCTTACTTCCTTTCTCTCTCTTTTTCCCTTCTCTTCATTCTAAAGCTGCTTAAGGAGATAGCTAGGAAGCGCAGAAGCATTCGTCTTGGGAGGGAAGTTGAATTAAAGCCATATATTGCAGCTCACTTTGAAGTTCTTCCTACGGAGTTCACGTTGGGGGATAAGAAGCATTACGGTGGCTTTGAGAATAAGCAACTGCAGAGTGGTCAAGAATACGTCTTCTTTGTGTTGGCTGTAATGGAGCATTCAGAATCTGTACGTTAGTTATATTTTTCAATCCCAATGTTACCTTTCCACAATCATGAAAACATTTTTTTAATGCTTATTCCACTTCTCAAAAGCTATTTTTTCACGATATATGTCAGAGCATCTCTAAAGTGAGTGTTTTCTTGCTCAGTTCTAATTAATTCCTTGAACTTTTCTATTTTGCATGCATTTTTATGTGTTACTTGTGTATAACTGAAACCTAAGGATCACCTTTTATTAGCTCTGTTGTGATCTTTTGCAAATTACGTGCTCTGCTATTTGACAACTTCACAGCAGCATCTTTATCACTGTTTTTTAAAAAGAGTCTCTCTCTTGCCTTAATACTACCATTGAATAGTGGCGTTGGATGCACAGGATTTTTGGAAAGATCCATTGAACCAGAGATATGCACAGCTAGCCTCTTTAGTTATAGTCATTCCGTACAACTTTATCAGTGAATTGTTAGAAAGCTAGAAAATAATTCAACAATAAAGAACATTCTTAATGTGAGCTAAATAATGAGCTGTCATTCCTCTTTATGTAATTCATCTTGTAGTTATGTCCCCTTATGCTTGAGTTAATCATCTACTGCATGACTAAAGTAAAAAAAAAAAAAAAAGACAGAAAAAGGACTGTTGAAAGAAGTTGCAACACACATTAACATTTTAACATACTGTGTTTAATATGATATCGTTCTAATTGGTACCTAAACCTGACAGTTACATTTGCTGGCTCAACCGCTTGAAACTACTACACCAATAATCTGAATTCTAGTCAAATGCTTCCAGGGTGTAACTTTACAATTGCTTTCTTGACGTGAACAGAATTTGCCTACTTAAACACAATGAGGAAGTAGTTTCCATTTGAATACTTTTGGATACATAGCTTCATTTGAAAATAAAATAAATGCCTATTGGGAGCTCTAACATAAATCAAAAGTTCCCCTTTCGCTTTTTGACAGTGGCTCTGTGTAGACAGAAAATTCTGAAGGTACTGCATCAGAAACATTCAAACTGGAGAAGGTAGACAGCTTTAACCTATAAAACTAGATGGCCAAAAATCTGTGTGACAGAAATTACCTCTACTAAAATTGATATTTTCAATACAAAGTACCATTTCTTATTTATTCTTCTACATTACTTAAGGCATTGGTCATTTCATGTAACCCTAAGGTTATTACTTCGTTAGAGAGGAATCAGGATGAGAAAGCAGGAATAAAGAGGGTTGTAAATTTACAGCTGAAAAGGCTGGTGTGGTAAAATATATCCAGGGGCCTACTGTTAAAGATTTCAAAAGGCATTACTAAACTTACAATGTGGACAATATCTGGTTTAGCATGCCATCTGAAACATCTGCATGATTAAGTAGCTTAAGGTAGTCACAGAGAGTGAAGAGTTTGTAAGAGTGAGTGAGCTTCAACTCCCAATACTCCAGTGTATCTGCTCTCAATATAGCTATTTTTCTTCTAGGACTATAGATCCTACTGGTGTATGAGTTTTAACTTGCAACAGATGTTTTTTTCCAATATTCAAAATACTTTTTACATAAGGTTTCTCCTTCAGAGAATACAAAATTTCCCTGTTGAATGGGATAATAGAGAACTTGCTTTACAAGAGGGCATGGGGAGGTCTGAATTTGTTTAACTTCGTAAAATGGAAGCTGAGAAAGCTTATAATTACGGTTCATAAATATGTTAAGCATTTTTTTCAAGGGGAACGAAAGAAACAATAGACAAATTTGGCAAAATAATAAATAAGTTTAGATTAGTCATTAATACAGGTAGGTTGAAAATTAAAAGCAAAATGCTATTTATTAGAGAACAAGTAGTAAGTACTCATACCATTATCCATCAGTCTCCCTCTCTGTCCCTTTCCAGGCATTTTTTCTGCTGGCTCCAAAGGAAGAGACTAAATACAAAGAGTTTCTTACCGTAGCAATGGGCTTTTTTCTGTAATTTGCGAATACTGAAGCTGGGAAATACAGTCTGGAACATGGAGAATCCCCAATTTCTAAACAGCAATCACAGACTTTTAAAAATGTTTGGTGCCATGTTTAGTAAAGGAACATAACTGGACATCATTGACATGGGTACTAGCTCAGTACCAGCTACTGCAAGTGCCTCAGCTTTGCTGGTTCTAATCCTATCTCTAACCTTAAAGCTAGACACCACCGTAGCCCATAACGTAGCATGATAACACTTGTCCTGGCTTTAGGCATCTTTCAGAATATAGTGCAATCACAGTAAATGGAAACTAGTATCTTG